GAGCTACTGCAGGTTTTTGAGTAACAGAAGGGTGATCTCCTCTGTTTCAGAAGAATTTCTCTGTTGTCATGTTGAGAACTGATGCGTGGCGAGTGTGCAGCTGGCATCTGCTACATGAAAAGCAGATTGTAACATATAGCTATTACTCTTGTGAGTAATAACACTAACTCATGCCATGGACAAGTAACACCTTAGCCCTGCTTCAAACCACATAAAGCAAGATTCCCTCTCAACAGGGCATCATGTGGGAGCCCAAAGGACACTTGCAGTTGGTAGGGCTGAATGGCTGTGTCCCTAGAGAGACATGAAGTCTCCCTTAGGAGAAGCAACACACAGGCTCCACCACAGACACCTTGAGCAACAGAAGGGTGATCTCCTCTCTGTTTGAGAAAGACTTCTCTGTCATAATTTTGAGAATTGATGCGTGGAAAGTGTGCGGCCAACCTTCAAAGTAACCAAGGTGTGCTCCCTCTAGCTGCAGGAATTCTCCCTCCCACATTTCGATCACAAGCCCTCAATAGCCATGGAATCTGGTACCCGGAGCGATTGCTGCCTCTGCCAGGCAGGCAGGCAGTCCCCTGCACAGTGGACTAGCTCTTGCCATCTGAGCCCTGCTAGGAATCAGTCTCCAAATGCAATCGCTTTCCTAGAACTCACCACCAATGGGCCTGAATCTGTGTGGTACAGTGCAAGTCTGCCCCCTCCCTTCAGAAACTGAGGACAGCAGTGCCCCTGAGAAGTCTAACATTCAAGGGTCCAAAGTAGCTCCTAAGAGCAGATGGAATTCCCAAGGGAGAGGTGACCAGTGGGGATGAAATCACAGGAAGCACTGGTGACTGCCTCTTTGGAGCCCCTGGAGATGAGCTTCAGGGAAAGGAGGTAGGTCCTGTATTGTCCTCCTGTTCTAGCTGGAGGTGGGCTGTGAGCATCAGAGAATTAAGGCTAGAGATGGCCTAGAGGTCCTTGGTCACAGATAAGGACGCTGAAGCTCAGGAAGGACGTGCATGCGGTGCCCAGGGGCACCTGCTGGTGAGAACAGAGCTGAGAAGGGCTTGCAGCTTCTTCCTGGGAGGCGGTGCCACTAGCTGCTTGGACTGCTGAAAAGTGGTTTTCTCTGGCTTTCCTTCTCCCTGGCGCCCCGGAAACCTCTGACTGCACCTCAGGGAGGCTGGTGAATGGGCAAGGCTGACTTGGGATCCACTGAACTGCCCCACCCAACCTCTGGGCAAAGCTGCGAGTGTCAAGGCCTGGGACACAGAGATCAAAATCCACCGACTGAGAATTCCGGTAGCAAAGAGAATGTGAAGAGACCCAAACCGAGGTATGGGACTGGCCCACGCCTCTGTGCCCTGTCATCCACACAGCCGCCTCACATCTCCCTTCGAGGACCAACCCGCACTCCCATGGTGGCTGAGGTGGCAGGCACCGGGTGACAGCTGAGGCAGGAACTGGGATGCTGGGCTTGCAAGAGCGGGGAATGGGCCCCGGAGCGCGACTGTGGACACAACCTCTGCTCCCCGATGCCCCGAGATCCCCCTCGCACGGGTTAAGAGGGAGCGAGGGCTAGCAAAGAGCTGCAGGACACAGGGACGAGCTCTCCAGGGGCAGAAACCCCGCCCCCGCCCAGAAACCTCCCGGGCCCGAGTCGTGCCCGGCGCTCCCCACCCCACCCCACCCCCGCCGCCTCTGCCGTCACTCACGGCCGCCGCTCGCTGCTCGCTGGTGCGCTCTCCGCGCCACAGGCACCTGCTCGCCGGCGCTGTGCGCTCACTTCTGGCTCACACACTGCAGACTCGGCGTCGCCGCCGTCACCCGGCCGCGTCCCCGGCCCGGCACAGCGCTCCGCCCTTCTTCCCGGCCCCCGGAGCCCACCCACCCGCCATGGCCCGAGCGTGGGCCAAAGAGTGGTGCGGCTCTTTACCCAAAGCCGGGTAAGGAGCTGAGGCCCTGGGCCACGGAGAGGGCCAGGGACACTCGGGGAACAGGGACTTGCGGCCGTCTCGAGGGATGGAGACTGAGAACAAGCCAGAGAGAGTTTGGGTGGGAGGACCCCCAAGCAAAGCGGGTGCGGGGCGGAGCTGCGCTACAGCTGGAGAGATGGTGGTCCCTCCGAGCGACCCCTGCAGAAGGAGGGGGCGCTCCAGGGCGGGGGCGGCGCGGGCTGTGGCTGGGGAGGGGAGAGAAGAGGAGCGGAGGGCGGGGGCGATGCGGCGGTGGAGGCGGCTCGGGGCCCATCCGCTGACCGCCCCCTCCCTTCGCTTCCCCTCTCTTCTCTCCCCTCCCCTCCTGTCTCCTGCTCCGGGTCCGCCACGCCGGACCCGCTCTCCCTGCGCTGCGTTGGGTCGGACGCCAGGTCTGCGCGCCGCGGCTGAGCGCCCACTCGCGTTGCGGAAAGATCCGCGGAGAAACCAGCGGGGGCGGCGGCAGGAGAGCTCAGCGGGAGCCGGAGGAGGTGACAGTCGGGAGCGGAACCAGAGGAGAACCGGAGACACCAGCTCGCCGCTTCGAGGCGCGCACTCCCTCGGCCAAGGATGGGTCCCGGCCCGGCCCAGCCCCTTCCCCGGCCGCCGGGCAGAGACTGAACAGAGCATCCCTGTGGTCCTGTGGACAAGCGGACAGAGGGAGACACTGACCGATCATCAGTACCCTCTCGGCGGGACCTCGCCCGCTGCGCACTCCGCGCAGCGCCCCCAGCCGGAGCCGCGCCGGGCCAGCGGGCGAGGGAGCGGGGCTGATTGGCGGCCGCCGGCAGCCAGGGGAGGGGGCGCCGTGCGGGGCCATGGCAGGCTCCGAGGCGTCCTAGCCCTAGCGGGAGCCGGAGCCGAACCCAAGCTGCTGCCACCACCATCTCTTCGCTCCCCGGCCCCCGCCGCCTCTGCGCCCCTGCGGGAGATGGAACAGCGGAACCGGCTCGGAGCCCTCGGATACCTGCCACCTCTGCTGCTGCACGCCCTGCTCCTCTTCTTGGCCGACGGTGAGCGCGGGAACTTCGCTGCGGCGGTGGGCTCGGGGAACCCTCTGTAGTGGCCGCCGGAGACAGCTTGCCTCGGCTGCCACAGAAAAAAAAAAAAAAAAAAAAAAAAAAAAAAAAAAACCGGAGGAAGAAAAAGAAGGGGAAGGCTTCCAGGTCTCCAGCCATCCTTGTGTGCAGCCTGGGCGCGGAAGGGTAGGGGGAGGAGAGTCTGGTCGGGGTCCGGTCACAGAGAGGAGGATGCGGGGAGCGACAGTTGGCGCGCCCCAGCCCGACTCTGGTGGTGCGGCCCAGCGCAGGGGGAGAAGCGTGCCTGCCCCTGTCGCCCCGCCCGATCCGGGCGCCCGATCCGGAGGGAAGCAGCCAGCAGCCGGCGGCGGTCTCTGCACCCGCCCTGCAGCTGCTCCGCTGAACTTTGCTGACATCTCGGGCCGTGGACCACAAAACAGCTGGGGACATGGGGAGCCCAAGGCTAGTAAGCGAGCGAGCGGGAGACCGACCGCCTCGCCTAGGGTTGCCCCAAGCCCCCGCCCTGCAGCTGGTCACGCCTCTCTCTCCCCCGCCCCCAGCTACATTCACCGAAGTCCCCAAAGATGTGACAGTACGGGAGGGAGACGACATCGAAATGCCCTGCGCGTTCCGGGCCAGTGGAGCCACCTCGTATTCTCTGGAGATTCAGTGGTGGTATCTCAAGGAGCCGCCTCGGGAGCTGCTGCACGAGCTGGCGCTCAGTGTGCCCAGCGCCCGAAGCAAGGTAACCCGCCGCCCACGCGGCGCCGGCGCGAACTTGGCTCAGGCCCCGGGGCGGAGAGGGTTACCCTGGGAATACGGCAGCAGCGGGCTTCTTGGATGCAGGGCACCTCCCTGTTGCGCAGGCATCCCCACACTCGGCATCCCCACCGAGTCAAGGATTGTTATCCTCAAATCCTGCCAATTCCTGTCTCTTCTGCAACCTCCCGGAACTCTACTCACGCCTAGCTCCTAAATACCGACACCTCATCCAGCTGGCCTGTTCTTGATTGCTGCTGGACTAGCATCTGATGGGGTGCTGGTTGGGAAAAGAAAATCATTTGATCCCACCAGTCTCTCCCTGCCCTCAGGCACTCTGAGTTCCCTCAAGGCACTAGGCCAACAAGTTAAATTCCTCTGAGCTGCATTCCAGAGGCCGGCAGAGAACCGTGTGCGGGGGAAACCAGATCACCTCTAGCTTCCCCAGGATCCGAGGGACGGCTTCCCTTGTGGCTGAACGCTGTCTACCATATCATCCATATCCTCTTACACGCGCTCCAGCACACGCACACTCACCTGCCTACCTGTCTATATTCCCTCCAGGGTCCCACTCAAAGTTATTGCGCATGACTCCTATCAGGTCCTGTCCAGTCACACTGGTCCTCCCATCCAGTTTTTCACAACTCCTAATTAATTAAATCAAAGATTTGGAGAAACGGAGCAGGCAAAGCGGGTGCCCTGCAGGAGAGAGATGCGCTCCCACCCCACCCCCGCGCGCGCCAACCCAGCTCCCCTCCTCCTGCGGCAGCTCTTCCTGTGGTAGCCACTCCTTGCCCAAGCCCCTTGTTTGCGCTGCTTCCTAACAAACTGCTGGAAACCCTGGCGTTTTTTTTTTGCGCCTTCAGCCCCCACCAACTCCAAAGGGTCGGGGCCCTGCCAGCCCGGGTAGGGTCCCCTGGCCACAGATAGGTCTGAATTTCCGAAGCGCAAATGCCACCACCCTAATGTCTTTTCTCCCCTTTGCATTTTAGGTAACAAATAAGGATGCAACTAAAATCAGCGTAAGTGTGGAGCCAGCGTGGGCCTCGTGAGCCCCCTTCCGGCGGCTTCGCGCTGCGCAGCTTCCTCCCCCCCCCCCTCCCCTTTATGGCGTCTCTCCCGCGGCACTTTGCAGAGCCGCGCGGCGGTCTGATGTCCTTGGCTGATTGGTGTGTCTGGGCGCCGGTAGCTAGTTCAGGTTCACTTTTGTGTAAATCAAGGGTCCAAGGCTTCAGTTCCCCCAACTTGGCTGGCCGCTCACCTGTAAACTCTTCTTGCCCGGGACCGCGCGCTCAGTCTGCTTAGTCTGCTCGCCTTTCTTCCGCAGCCCCATCTCCCAGGGCCGCAAGCGCGCGACTGCTCGCCCTTGCCATGACCTGTAGTGCTGCTTTCCACCCTCTCAGCCCCGCCCAGCCGAGGGACCCGAACTCTGGCAACAGCCCGCCTCCTCCGTCCGAACGCGGAGCTTTGTAGGCTAGTGGAGGGTGGAATGGTCGCCAGTTTCTCCGAGCTGTGCAGGGCCACAGTGGGGAGGAGACTCTCCCTAGCTTGCCCAGGAGGGGCGAGGAAGTAGCAAGGCCTGGAGACCAGGAAAACCTTCTCGCGGGCTCTGCGCTGAGGCGAAGGCTATCTGGGTGCTTGGCGAGGACCACTGAGCGCCTTCACCAGGCCGCAGAGGAGCGCTTTGTTGTGGGCTCCAGTCGATTTAGCCATGGTGCTGCCTGCCTGCTTGGGAGGGCTGGAGTTACTCGGAAAGACTTGGACGTTTGGGGAACAGAGCCCCAGCGTTAGGGTTTTTGAAGGTAGAAGGATGGGGAAGGGAAAAGCAGGTGTGTGGGATGAGGCAGAGGTGGTGGTATGCAAGATGAGGCGTCAAGTAATATAAGGAAGGGAGCTCTGGGGGCAGTGGGCGCGGCAACACGGTAACCAAGCAGAGCTGGGACCCCCCTACACACCACTGAGAAGACAGATGAAAGAAAAGCGAAGTTCTGGGGTGCACTGGCAAGGGGGAGAGGCGTCAGGGTCGGGGCACTGATAGCTCCAGCCCTAATAGCTGGTCTGGGCCCGCCAGCCTGGCTCTAACCCCGCTCTCTTGCAGACGGTGCGCGTCCAGGGCAATGACATCTCGCACCGGCTTAGGCTGTCGGCTGTGCGCCTGCAGGACGAGGGCGTGTACGAGTGCCGCGTGTCGGACTACAGCGACGACGACACGCAAGAGCACAAGGCCCAGGCGCTGCTGCGCGTGCTCTCGCGCTTCGCGCCGCCCAACATGCAGGCTGCCGAGGCCGTGTCGCACATCCAGAGCAGCGGCCCACGTCGCCACGGCTCCGCCAGCGCCGCCCACACCAGCCACGCGGGCGCTGCGGGCCGCACCACCTCAGAGCCCGGGCGTGGAGACAAGAGCCAGCTGCCTGGGAGCCCTCCTGCCGCCCACGGACCCGAAGTCCCCGAGACCGCTGCTGCCTCCGTGGCCCACACAGCCACCACCACCGTGGCGGCTGCAGCCGCGGCTTCGTCAGCGTCGCCGCCACCTGGCCAGGCGGTGCTGCTGCGCCAGAGACACGGCTCAGGTAGGGTGCGCGCGCGGGAGAAGACTCACTCCGCGCTGGCTGGGGGAGGGGGGCCTGTGGCGTCGCTCGCTACCTTGAATCGTTGTCGGCTTTCCTAGCCGTCTCCCCGCCCCTTCTCTGTCGTTACCGCGGCCTCCGGGAGCTTTCAATCATGCGCATTTATGAATATCGGGCTGCCCTGCTGCACCGGAGCTGGAGCGCGCTGGAGCTCTCTCGGGGCTTTGGAGAACTGGCCCCTGTGGGCGGCGCGCCTACTGCGGAAGGGTCGGCGTTATCCCTGGAGCCCGAAGTGTGCCTCAGGGCTTTTCGCTTTGCTGAGATTGGGGGGAGGTAGTTAAAGCTGAGTGTATGCTCATTTGAACGCACCTTGTCCTGGACGTGGGGACAGACCTGGCTGTGTAGGTTGTGCTCTCTTAGCCTGTTTGGAGGAGGGTCCTAGGTGCTGACGCTGCTTTCTGGTGAAGTTTGCTGGGCCGCGGGGTGAGAGAGGGAATAACGCCCCACTGCGATGTTGAGAAGTCGCCAGAGGTTAATATTGGCTTCCTAGAGAGTTCAGAGGGAAGGAGCGGAGATTTGGGGGAGGGTGTGTGGGACAGCCATGGAGGCATCTCCTCGAGGCAGTGGTGGGTTGTGGTAAGAGGGCTTACTGCCCAGTGTGTCCCTCCCCGAAGCACTCCCCACTCCCTCTGCCTGCTCCAACGTGGGCCTCAGCCCTGCACTCTGGTGCTCCTCAGCCAGTCTGATTATAAGCTGGCCACTCCCTTCCTGAACCCCACCCCTAGATCTCGATCTTCTGTGATGCAGAGTCCCGAGGAGAGCATCTAAGCTGCGATTACAGCCATGCGCGCGGCTGGGACAGTCACATGTAAAACCTTCCTTGGGCAGGTGTCATGGAATGCATTGTCCTGCTGCTGCCAGGACAGTCCCTAAAGTGCTGCCACCTGCTGCCAGCCAAAGAGGCAGGTCTCCTGTCACTGTCTTTTCCCACCTTGCTGGCTGACCCCTCACCCCAAAAAACGGGTTGGTCTTGCATATCAGCTCAGTTCTGTTTCTGGCTCATTTATTCCCCTGTGGAAGCCGCCTCTGTATCTCAGGCCATTGCCTGGATCTGGAGGCCTCGTCCCTGGCAGCCCCACACAGGAACCCTCAGGACTTTCCTCCAGGCCTGGGACAGTGACTCAGCTGGAACCTGTAGAGAGCCTCCCCCAGACAACCCCACTCTTTCCTATGTGGCCTGGAACATTCCACCCATTTTATTAATTCAGGTAACACTAGCTACTGTTACAAACCCCAGAATGTCAGTGGCTTGACACATCTCAAATTTAATTTTTTTCCTTGTTCACATCAAGTCCCAGAATAGAGTGCAGTGTCTTCATTCAGTCCTGTGCAGGCTAATGGAAACTCAACCAGCTTTAGCAAGTGTCTCCCAGAGTCACTCTGTGGAGGGACCTCTGACCAACAGAGGAGGGAAGAGAGATGGAAGCCTCGTTCCTCAGCCCAGTTCCCTGTGACAGAATGATGCCCTAAGATCCTAAGGCATGCACTGTATATTCGCATCTAGAATGGCCCTCAGTATGTACCATTCCTGGAAAACTGAGAACACAGCCCCTCAGACTCTTCTGTGGTGTTTAACTCTCTCAGGGAAAAGTAGATATTGAGAATAGACAGGTGAGTTTTTAAAGCAGGAGGCCTGCATATAGGAAATGTTGTTTCTGCTCTTGTCTACTGCCGTCTTGTATTCATTAACTTGGCAACTGCTTTCCAATATCCTCTGTTCACAGTGGAATGGGAGACAGAATCTTTGGGGCAGTTGACTGTCTCAGCCTAGTGTCTAAGAGTTGTGTTGGGAAGGTGTTTATTGACTTACAGTGACTGGCTTAATTGATGAAGGCCCTTTCACTCCATTCCTTTGGGCCCCAGCAAGTAAACTTGAGCAGCAGAGGCTGCAACATAATCTGGAATGGCAAAGTAAAAGACTTGAAAAACAGAAGCCCAGATGTAAGTCGTGCCTCTGACAATTAGCGGCTGTGTGACTTCAGGCAAGTGTTAGAACATTTCTGACATTGATAATCCCTGACCTCAGAGGGATGTCAGTATGAAAACTGCTGTGCATGTGTTCATTATTATGACCATGGTTGTTAGTGCCTCTGGTTGGAGGGGAAGGAATGGGGAAAATAAAGCTCACTGGTTGGCAGTTGGATGCTAAGATATGGGGGAATTTAAAAGCCAAGTAGAATCAACAGGATTAGTTGAAAGATTTGATCAAGGAAGGACCCTATGAAGGACACCCATGGGTGTGAGCTTTGTCTTCCTCACAATATGGCAATAAGACCAAGACCATGAACTTGTTCCAACATGAATCTCCCTCTTCTCCAGAGTCCGACCCTTAAGCCTGGCATAGCCAGTCAGATTTCCAATCTCCGTGCTGGCCACAGAGCCAAACAAGAGAGTAGAGAAGCTGGAGGCATTTCATTCTGATGATTGCAGACCCACCCGTGAAAGATGCCTTTCTTCCAGGAAGACATGAGGTCCTCACATCAGCTCATTTCCGATGGCTCATGACCTCAGGTCATCCCAGCCAGTGGGGCCTTGGGCACCTGCCATCTCCTCTCGGTCTTTCCTGAGGTGGGGGCATAGTGTTCATTGCCCCCCAGTACCTCTGGGGTCTCTATCACCCAGTAAGCTTTGCCAGTTCTCAACAGGCCAGGAACCAGGCAGATTTATCTCATCAAGAACCCTGAGTTTCTCTTCTGCTCTCCTTTGGAAGAGCTGGAAGGTGAGTTTTTAGGTGTGTTTTCCTCAGCTTTCTATGTGAAGCTCTTAGGAAAGTCGCTTTGTGATGGGTACCTCTATGTCCCACCCCATCTGAGCAAAGAAAAGTAGGTTCTGTGACCTGTACTCCACAAACACAACTGAATAGCCCTGGTGCCCAGGAAGAAACTATGGCCAGGATTGTATTCCATCTCTCCCAGTTACCCAAGATCATCTAGGCCCTGGGCTGTCATTGGGAGTAAAACCTTGCTGTTGTGCGTGGTAGACATTAATAATCTCTCTGCAGGACTGCCTGGCCGACCAGTTCCTGAAGCTCAGAGGCCAGCGTGGCTCTCAGTCAGTGTCCTCAGGAGGCAGCAGGCCAGACATGGCTTAGCTTCCCCAGTGGCTTTGGCATAGCTGAGGAAGAGTACCCTGAGCCTGACTTCCCAGCTCACAGTTTTCTCAGTGGCTTGGTAGAAGAGGTCCTCCTAGTTAACAGGCACAAGTGTTTGCAGAGCCTGTATCAGTCGGAGTGCTGAAAGAAATAGATGACATGTTCAGAGTCACCAAGGGGAGCTGATAAAGGATATTTATAAAACTGTGAACATAGTCAGGGAGGCCAGCAATGGACGGCTGAAGATCCTGAGGGCTCCCAGCAGTGGGAGCCCTCAGCTCCCCAAGGTTGAAGGAGCCAGGGAAGGGAACAACCAGCAGAAGTCAAAGAGGAGAGCTGGATGGACAGGACTGTCCCTCAGTGGAGGGACAAGCCAACCCACAGTGACGCTGCAAGGACCTCTCTTAACCTCCGTCTTCCTATCAAGGCCGCCCACCGACCGGACTCTCCTGGAAGCCAAGGGTGCCAGAGTGAAACAGGTTATGGAGGTCAGCCCAGGGCTCAGAGAAGATTGGAGGAGCATCATGGAGGATGGTAGATGGAGGAGCTGAGGGACTAAAAGGCTCACCCCAGGCCAGCGTGGAAAAGACACTCGGGCTGTTTCAGATTGGTGACTATTTCAGGAGTGGTCCTAGCACCCTGCTCCAGACAGTCTCCATTGTATTTTTGCTCCAAGAAAGCCGTCAGAAGGAACTCTGATGTTAAGTGAGGAGCTGAGTGAGCTACTTCAGTAACTGGGATAGGGGGAGAATACTCGTATCTCCCTGTAGCTACTGCACAGCCAGGCAGGAAAACCCTCCCTGTGCCCATGTGTGCCCCGTTCAGCCAAATGCATATTTGCACTAAAAGTTTATGTGCAAAAACTCATTCGTTTCACGTCTCATTTGTCAAGAGACATTTTGGTATTTGTGCGTAAAAATAAACATGGGCTAGATTAGCAAAGTAGAGCAGGCACAGGAAGCTTCTAAGCCACCTTTGTAAATCTGGCTCCTGATGAATCTGAACACTGACCAGCTTGTTAGGAACACTTTGTTGCTGATTGCCATGGGCAAAGAGGGAGGATCTTCCAGACAAATGCTTGTAACTGGGAAAGGCGCCGCAGTGAAGCCATAGTACAGCCTGCAAAGAATACAGTTTGTAACTGAATGGCTTGTGTGTTGGCAAGAGGTTCCCCTCTGTAGGGACCTCAGGATTAGATCATGGTGTATGAGCCTCTAATTAGCCTCAGGGCTCTGGCTCCAAGGAGAGGCGCCGTGGCCCCCACAGAGAGCCGCCTGGATGTGGCAAACTGCTGCTGCCTGGTGCCCACACGGAGAACTGGCTCTCAATATTTCAATTAATAATGAGAGAAAGACAGCCAAGGCCATAGGTGTGACGGCTTTTG